CAATTATGCCCAGTACAGGGAGCAAGCTTCAGATCAATATTTAGAATCTACTGTAGGTTGCAGTTTTTCAGTAGACGACGTAGGTGTTGGCCGCAGTGACCCATTTTTAAACTTGGTCTATCGTCATCAAATACCAACAAATCTACGGCAATTTTTAAATTGATATCACAAATTTTATGATCGTGATATTATTGCGGTGAGAAACGGCGGATCAATAGGTGAAAGAATGGATAAGCGATCATGATCAGATCAGCTCAAAACCTTACGTTGACGTAAGTGTAAAAAGATAATATTAATTATGTGGCTTCACTCACATACACAAACAGAAGGACTTTATCGTCGTTTGCAGATATAAAAATTTTAAAAGTAACCGAGGAAAGCCGTCCAAATTCATGTCTTAGGAATTTACTTCAATATTCATTATCTTCGAAAGAATTAATTTACCTTTAAATCTTCTAAGCAGTACTCATACCCGCTCTATTTGGTATTTATGCAAATATGTTATCAAGGCCTTATATGTACACGTCTCACATTATGCGGTAATAAAATTTCTCTTACAAATCTTTTTTATAAATAATGTCACAACATGTTAAAGAGCAATTACATGAGCAATAATTATGGGAGAAACTGTCATTATACTCATACCACGTATAGGCATATAAGTTGGAATCGCTATTTTTTGATACGCGAAGTTACTCCCTTATGTATCGCAACTAAGCCACCCTAATTGACTTAACAGGAATGGAGAAAATAAACAGAAACGGAAAGAAGAAATAATCAACAAAATGTCTATGAGTTAATCCTGAAAGAATATTAATGCTTTAATTAAATGGGATCAAAGAGATTACACTCAAGTGAATCTTTCTTTGCTTACTTACTTTGCGTAAAGTACTTTAGAGTCTGTTGAAGTTTTCATACGATTCGTGACACTGAGATGGCAGCATCGAAAGGATTGTGAACGCTGCATAAGAGTACATACACACAAGGATAAAGAAGTTATGTTTCCTAATGCTATTCCATCCATATCCGTATGGAATACAATTCTTTTGCGTAGACGATAATTTTAAGGTCTTAGTTGAGAGCACTGGAATGCTCACAACAAAAGGTTGAAAGCTCGTGAGCGACTAGAGTGTGTTTAGCACCCTCGACATTGGACCTCGATGCGTGCCGCGCTGTACTGTGTTGTGGTAAAGCATGCATATCTCCACGACTAGCATTCTGCCGAAATAAAAGAGATCTTCCCAACAATTAAAACCTCCAATAAGGCTATTAGGGGCTCTCAGCGTTTCCATTTACGTGTTTTGAAATTGCCTCTATATCGCATGGCACAATTCCGTAGCTGCTTCTCCCTTAACAGCGTTGCTTGCTTTTAGTACAATTTATCTGAGACAGATGCTCTCATCGTTTTAAATATTCCGACATTTAAATGTGACGTAGTGTACAAACAATACCCCCCTTTTCTCTCCTAATTAACTGAGCAGTTGGTCCGAAATAAAACAAAAAATGTATATATATTTAACGCCCCCTCCAGCTGTACATAAATGTCTAACGCTCTTATTGCTATCAAATTTGAATATATGAAGCAATGTTATTACCAGGTCAGCCGCAATTGCTCCAAAAAGTTTTAATATATTTTCACAAACTAAAGTTTTTTCCAACGGCAAAAAATCATGCAAAGCTAAATATAACCTCAATCTCGTAGTAACTGACGGTGGATTACTTTTCCCTTCAAAGTTCATCGACTTTCGATGTGATTTAGAAAGATGTGCGAACCATTTTATTTTTATTTTCCTTCTTTTTTTTTTTGTTTGTTTTTCTGTAACACAAATAGGAATAAAATTTTTAATTTATTTGGATGCAAACACTTTGAATGACCATAAATGATGATATCTTTTTTAAAGGATAAAATTGAATTATTTTGTCATGTCGTTTACAACAAGTCTTTAAATACGCATTAAAGATCTCCACAAAATGTTGCAGTTCTTAGGACAATTTTGAGAACGCATGAGCAAAGTTAGACTAAGTAAGCATCGTGTTGCATGTCTGGGTGAATGGGCGTGGAAATTGAATTCAAAAGCATTTACCCGATGTATATCTTATGAATTCAATTCCATTTAATTCAAGTTTCGACGAAAGACAAGTCGGTCGGGCTCCTATTGGAATACTTCAATACACAAAAGTTGGGATTCCGGACAAGTATGCGATTTCAATACATACACAACTGAAAAGGATCTTGTAGTTGCTTATGAATTAAAATACAAGATCGCGAGAAAACAAGGCGCACAGACGGACAAGACAAGCTTAAATCAGTATAATAGAACGCAGGCCTTTCTCACGTCCCCCTCCTTGTATCGCAAGTGTTGTAGGGTATAAAAATTACCTTAATTCGTCTATTGACAAATCCATAAACAACAAAAACAACGAGAACAAGCAATAATCGTTTGACGTGAGGTGTGTCTAAGAGTCGTTTACAGCCAAATCCGACACTTTTGTTTTTTTTTTTTCTGCGTATGTGTGAATAATGTACAGATAAGTATGCGTTTGAAATCTTTTCCACAATTTTTCCACTTAAACTATTATCCCTCCGCTGCTTTACTTAATTT